CACATGTGGAACCCTTACCCCCCCCAACCCGAAATTCGGGTCTTCGGGTTGGGTTGGGGTGGTCTGGTAGGTAGTCAACTGTGAGCCCCCTGGTCTCGGCGGCAAGCCCAGGGGGGGGGGGGGAGCGCGAGAGGGGGCAGGCCTTCCCAGGAGGCGGCGGGGGCTTCTCGGAAGCCCCCGCGCCCTGCCGTGGAGCCCCGTGAGCCCTCCCCGATCGGGGGCACTTTTTCTTGATCCGCGGGGCGAGGGCGGACCTCTTCCGCTGGAAGCTGGGCGGGACGCGCACGGCTTTCGTCAGCAGAGAAAGGGCGGAAGAAGGCGGGGCCTCACGGCGGCCGGGAGAGGGCGAAGCCCTGGGATCGGGCGGTGCCGAAGATGATCTCCCCGAAGACACAGGCGGCTTCTCAGAAGGCCAAAGGTTGTTGCTATTAAGCGAGGTGCCACGATGGTGTCGATCGCTCCTTGTGCCGCCAGCAGAAGACAGGGCCGGCTTCTGAGAAGCGGATTCGCATCGAAATGTTGGTCAGAACGCACCCTGGAAGAGGTCCGGGAAGTAGCGGCATTCGCATTGTTTAGTTTCCGCAGGGTGGAGAGGTGAGGGGATTGTTGGGGGCTGGGTGGGGAGCACATGACTCGCCTTGTTGAACGTTGACCGTCAGCTGTCCAGATCCCCCTCGGCAATCTCGTCGCCGCTGGGCTCGCTGATCTAGCTCAGCAAGGCTCTGCGCTGCCGCCACCGCCGCAGGAATTTGAGGATTCGGACGGTCACGGTTTCGATCGGGTCGGCCTGTATCTTAGCCGTCCCCCTTGGGCAGTGGCTCCATTCCCCCTTTTCCCCCCGCTCAGAGAGATGCGCTGGAGAAAAAGGAAGGACATGGAAGTGCGTACTTTGTGGTCTCTCGATGCGAGTCCATGTGTCGTGCTCTAGGCGCGCTCAGCAGATGCATTCTCTACCTATACGACCACCTTCGGGTGATAAGGAGATTGTGGGGGGGGGAGGGGGGGGGGAACCAACATCTGACTCAATCGATCTCATTATCGATCTCACTCAACGAGACACCACGGGACACCACGGGACACTTGTCGATCTCACTATCGATCTCACTATCGATCTCACTCAATGGGACACCGCGGGACACCTCTCGATCTCACTATCGGTCTCACTATCGATCTCACTATCGATCTCACTCAGCAGGACACCATAGGACCCCACGGGATACCTCGGGACACCACATCGATCTCAGTATCGATCTCACGATCGATTTCACTCAACGGGACACCTCGGGACACCTTTCGATCTCACTATCGATCTCACTATCGATCTCACTGAGCGGGACACCTCGGGACACCTCGGGGCACCACATCGATCTCACCATCGATCTCACTATCGATCTCATTATCGGTCTCACTCAACGGGACACCACGGGACACCTCGGGACACCTGTCGATCTCACTATCGATCTCACATCGATCTCACTCAGCGGGACACCACGGGACACCTCGGGGCACCACATCGATCTCACCATCGATCTCACTATCGATCTCGTCATCGATCTCACTCAGCGGGACACCACGGGACACCACGGGACACCGCGGGACACCTCTCGATCTCACCATCGATCTCACGATCGATCTCACTCAACGGGACACCACGGGATACCACGGGACACCACGGGACACCGGCGGGACACCGGCGAGACACCGCGGGCCACCGGCCGCCGGAGGAGAAACATTTGGTCCGGCCGCGGCCCAGCCAGAAGAGGATTTCGGGACACCACGGGATACCGGCGGGACACCGCGGGCCACCGGCCGCCGGAGGAGAAACATTTGGTCCGGCCGCGGCCCAGCCACAGGAGCATTTCCTCTCGCCCGCCCACGCAGCTTCGCCTCGCCCGCACGCGCGCACGGCACGAACCCGAAACCGAAGTCGATTTCCTGGTAGGGGGGGTCTCCGTTTCACGTCGGACACCCCCCAACCTCCGATGCGCGCGCAGCGGGCACCCTCGCTCGCGCAGATGCTGATCGCGTCGTGCCTTGATCAGGCGCAAAGTTGACAAACTGCTGCCCTAGTCAGAAGAGGCGGGTCCCCGATGAGACAATAAACAGCTTCTCCAAGTCAGGGGCATATGGTGGACGCATCATGGACGGCAGTGAAGGTTACCATCGCCCTTTGAGACGGCGGCGTTATCGATCCTTCTCATTTCTCTTCCTTCTCCTCCTCGTCCTCATCCGCATCCTCATCGTCCTCCTCCTTGTGTCTCCTGTGACGCTAGGTGTCCCTCCTTGTGTCTCCAATCAAGAAGCGGACTCCGTTCCCGACCAGCCTCTCAACGAGGAGAGTCATTCCTCGCATGCGGTTGCAGTCTTTAGGCAGTACATAGTCCGCGCAAGCCGTGCTTAGCACGGCCGATGCGTACCTGACCTCCTCCTGCCTCGGTAGGGCGGCGGCGACATGTGGCTTCTCATCTAGGGGGCGTCATCAATCTGTCGCCGAGAAGCCGACGCGCAAGGTAGATCGCACATAGCTGTTTGTGGGCTCGCTGTGTGCAGTCGACTTTCAGACTGGCCTGGCCTATCAAACATTCGGCGATGTCTCATCCTCCACGTCCTCTCTGATCATGCTGCGCCACATGTTGCCGTGGATATGAGCATAATTCGGGGATGTGGTCATCTGAATCAGCGTCGTGATCGCGATGGACAAAAACCCACCGCTTCCACTTGATCGCGGATCCGTGCGGGAGGCCACAATCTCGGCTCACGGAATCCAAGTGGGCCGAGGGGGGGGGCAAAGGCGGTGGGGGAGGGGAGTGGGGAGGAGTGGGTGGCGTCCGCCGATGCTTTCCCACCGCCGCCCCCGTCAGTTTCATCACCTTCGAACCTCCCCTGACTCCCCCTTATGGGCCCCGTTATCATCCGTCCGTTTCCACTCCCTGCCTCTCCCATCCGCCTTGCTTGTACCAGCAAGTGACGCCCGCCGGTCGTCGTGCCCTCTCTATCCCTCTCCTTCTCTCTCCTTCTCTCCCTCTCCCTCCTCATCCCTCCCTTCCCCTCCTTTCTCCATTTCAGCCTGCGCCGGGTTTCATTCAATGCTGGGTGTGATCGCTTGCGCTTGGTGTCCTGCCCACGCGCCGGACGGCGCATGACTTGTCGTGTCGTCGTGGGCGAGTTCGTCGTATCCCTTCCCGTTTGGGCGGCCGCATCTTTTCTGCTGCTCCTCCTCCTCCTCCTCCTCCTCCTCCTCCTCCTCCTGCCCTTCTTGTCCGCCTCTGCTGCTCCTCCCTCCGCCTTTCCCCTCTCCCCCCCCCCTCTCCTCGCCAGCCCTCCCTCTCGTCCCCCCCCCCCCTTCCATCCCCTCCCTCCCCCCCTTCCCCTCCCATGCCCTATCACCCTCTCGTCCTCCCCTTCCCCCGCTTCCTCCCCTGCCTCGGGCGCCCCCCGCAGGAGAAGTACGGGAAGGACATCCTCTTCCAGTCGTCGGAGCTGTGCGGCAGGGACGCGAAGCCCGGAGAGGAGGTTACGTTCCAGGTGAAAGACGGCAGGACTGCCTGTCCATTGGAGGAGGAGGAGGAGGAAGGAGGAGGAGGGGGAGGAGGAGGAGGAGGAGGAGGAGGAGGCAGGAGGAGGGGGGGAAGGAGGAGGAGGAGGAGGAGGAGGAGGAGGAGGAGGAGAGGAGGAGGAGGAGGAGGAGGAGGAAGGAGGAGGAGGAGGAGGAAGGGGGGGAGGAGGAGGGGGAGCGCAAGCACCGCCGCTACCCTGGCGCGGCGCTGTGCGCGTTCGCGCTGGAGACGCTGGGCCGGCCTGGGCGCGAGGCGCAGGACCTCCTGCGCACCTGGGCGGCGGGCGACGCGGCTGTGCTCTCGGCGGCGCGCCAGAGCATGGCCGCCGCGCTGCAGCGGGCCAACGCCGAGGCGTACAACGCCTCGGTGTGGCCACTGGGGCGGCGCGCCCGGCCGCGCCCCTTGAGGCGCTGAGCGCCGGGGCGGCCTGCTGCTGAGGCGCGCGCAGGGCGCGGCGCACGCGCCGCGCCCGGGCGCAGGGGCACCTGGAGCTGACGACGCCGGGCGCCCGGCGGGCGGCGGCGGCGCCTGCGGCGGGCGCGGCGCGCTGGGCAGCGGCGGCGGGCTGCGCGGGCGGCGCCGGCTGCGGGGGCGGTGCTGCAGCTGGGCGCGGCCGCCGGGCGGACGGAGCCGGCGCTCTGGCAGACGCGCGGCGGCGGCGGCGGCGGCTGCCCGGGGCGGGGCTGGAGGCGCGGCGGCACCGGCGGCAACCGCCGCGCGGCGGCGGCGGCCGCGGCGGCGCCCGGCGGCGCGGCGCGCGCCCCACGCCAGCGCGGCGGAAGCGGCGCGCCCGGCGGCGGGGGGTGGACGGCGCCGGCCGGGCCGCCGAGCTGCGGGCTGCCGCGGCGGGCTGCTGCGGCGCCGGGCTGCGCCGGGGCGCCGCTCGCTGACTGAGCTGGAGGAGCTGGACGACTAGCCGAGCGGGGTCCGGGCTTGCCCGCACCCCGCTCGGGAGGTGTCGTCGCGACGCTCCTGGAGCTCAGAGCGGGCGCAAGCGCGGGCGCGGCGGCAAAGGGACCCGCGCCGCGGCCTTCGCAGGAGGAGGAGGAGGAGGAGGAGGCGGAGGAGGAGGAGGAGGAGGCGGAGGAGGAGGAGGAAGAGGAGGAGGAGGAGGAGGGAAGGAGGGGAGGAGGAGGAGGAGGCGGAGGAGGAGGAGGAAGAGGCTCTGCCTAGATATTCGGAAAGGGGAATGAGCTGCATGGGAGGCTCGACAGGCGCTGGGGACCGTCAGGCACCAGGTCTGGCACCCCACGGCATCGATGTGTGGATCGCAAGATTCCGCGGATGCGCTCGAGGAGGCGGAGGGGGAGGACGCGGAGGAGGGTCAGGGTAGAGTTTGAAGGCCTCGTTGCAGCTGCAGTTCGCCCTGCCGTCCCACGTCCTCGCCAAACACGTCATTCGATTAGGTGAAAGGTCCATTCTGACTACGGCGAACGCCCGTTGGAAAGTCACGGCGCCCGCACGCGTCCACCGCGTGGTCGCCATCGGCAGAAGCATCGATCGGATTCAGACTTGACGGGGCAACGTTTCGAGTCGCACGTGGGCTGAGGCCTTGCACCCGTTGCGGCCACTGGATATGTCCCAGTTGCTGACTGATGAACTGCAGGGGCGCTTCGGGCAAAAACGCGATTGTGGGAAGGGATCGACGTCATTTCGTGGACCATGCTTTACTTTTCCAACCCGGCGAATGCCAGCTGTTGGACAGGAACCGCTGTCCGTCCGCGTATGGCTTAGGGCGTTCAGCTTTTATGGTCGTCAAGTTGTGAGGAAGTCACAGATTGCAGACTTTGCTTGACACTTGCCTGTCCTGTCCGTGTACCTGGTTGCCCAGGAATGCTTCAACCCGCATGTCACTTTGGACCAGACTCCTGGGGGGGCCATGTGTGGAAAACCACGTAACGCCCCGCACCGCAGCACTGCGATGAATGGTGAGGCGAACCGCTGGGACCGCCCTGCCCACACATCTGGTGGTCCGACGGCGACGCCGAGCTGCTCTGCCAGGCAGGATGCGCTGTGCTTGACGAGCGGGGCGATGAGGAAGTCTTGACGGTGAAGGGCAAAGGGGTGGCAGCGGGTGAGCGGGCCATCCCGTCCTGTTTTGGGGCGAGGGGGAGGGGCCCTGACGGGGAAAGGCGGGCGGAGGCCCCCATCGCAGCCCCCTTTATCATCCTCTCGTCCCCTTCCCTCCGCCGCCTTCCCTCCCTCATCCCTCCCTCCTTCTCCTTCCGCCCTCCTTCTCCTCCTCCTCCTCTTCCTCCTCTTCCTCCTCTTCCTCCCTCCTTCTCCTTCCGCCCTCCTCCCTCTTCCCTACCCCTTTCCTCTTCGTCCTCTCGGAAAAGGAGGAAGAAGAGGAGGAAGAGGAGGAGGAGGAGGGGGAGGAGGAGGACGAGGAGGAGGAGGAGGAGGAGCAAGTTTTTGCAAAGCAGAGGTCTTCGTGGGGGACGGGAGTCGGGCGGCTGGGAGTGGGTGGGTGATGTCATGCATTTGCTGCGGTGGCTATGCGTGGGCTGGTGTGGCCTCGCTAGCCAATAAATGCCCTGGCCACCCCCCCACTAAGGACCTCAGGCGACAGAGGACGAGGTTTGCCAAAGGTGATTTTCCCAGTTGGGCTCGGCAGTACAAAGGTTGGTCGGTCACAGGCCACCGATCGCCTACCCCTCTGGATCTAGTTTCCCTGGTCCGTGCGTCGCACAAAGGGGTCCAACTTTCAGGGGGGGCGGAGCCTGAGGCATGTGATTTTGTTGATAGCCTGTGGGAGGAGAAGTGGACCCCTGGTCAGCTCCTCTCTAGATATTGCTTGATTCTGCCAGCCGAGGCTGATCAAGGTATCGTGTCCTAAGCTGTGTTTGCTGCTAGGGGCGGGTGGCACTGACACCTGCCTCCACAGAGAACAGAACAGAACAGGAGGAGGAGCAAGGAGGGACGGGAAATAGCAGAGCCAGAGGCCCCGAAACCCGTGGAGACGACCAAAAAGTCGTCTCCCCCTGGCCCTTCGCCCCCTCCAGACGGAGAGCGGGGAGAGGACGCCAGAATGACAGGGTGGGTTGTGGAGGAAGGAGAGAGGAGGGAGGAAGGAGGAAAGATGAGGGAGGAAACAAAAGGGAGGAGGGGGGCCCTTTTCCGTCCACATCCTCATCCTTCCCACCTCCCCTTCTCTCCTAGACCCCTCCTGCTCAGTCTTCCCTTATGTTTCCTCCCTCCTCCTCCTCCTCTTTCTCCTCTCCTCCTCCCTCCTCCGTCCCTCCCCTCCTCCGCCCCGTCCCACCCTCCCCCTCCTCCCGCCTCCCCTCCTCCTCCGTCCCCCTCCTCCTCAGCCTCCTCCTCCTCTCCTCCTCCTCCTCCTCCTCCTCCTCCTCCTCCTCCTCCTCCTCCTCCTCCCCCTCCTCCTCCTCCCAGGAACGGCCCGATCGCGGTGTCGCTGAGCTTCGCCACCGAGGGGCCGTCCCCGCCGGCGGGCTCCTACTCCGGGAGCGTGAAGTCGTACAACCCCGTCAAGGGGTGGCGCGCCTGCTGCACATCTCAGGAGGGGAAAAAACACACAGACACAATTAATCGTCGATCCCCAGGAAAATATGGGAAAATATGGGAAGTGGTGGGGAAGACAAAAACCCACAAAATACGAGAAAATATGGGGATTTTTTTTATTTGAGTGTATTTATTTGTGTGTCCTTGGGCCCCTTCAACATCCTCCGGCTGTCCGTGCCGAGACTAGGGGGCTACACGCGAACCCTACCCCTACCCCCCACGATTTCCGAGGGGGAGGGTGGGGTTCAGTTCGCTCGGGAGCTCCCGAACGAACTGGACCCCACCCTCCCCCACAGAAGTCGTGGGAGGTAGGGGCAGGGTTCACATCTGGCCCCCAGGGACACCCCCCCGCCTCTTCTCGCTGCGAAGAGAAGCCCGGAGATCCGAGGATAGGATTTGTGCAAAGCCGCATTTTTTT